CAGTATGTTTGCATACAAACAGTTTCGAACATTCATGCAACCATAGCGAGGAAGCTGAGCTATAAAACCCGGGAAAAACTCAAAGAAATACGTTATGACTAGGACATCTACGATCAGTTGCGACATGGACACCTGTAGTTTGAACGTGGAGTATACCAGACAATTTCAAAAACCGTCAAATCCTTCACATAACGAAATATTTGCGATATTGTGAAGATATCCTTATAATCGAAGTATATGCTTTATTTCATCTTTGTTTCATTAGCTTTTCTTACATTAACTAATAAGAACAATAGTAGTAACAGTAATAGTGGTTTCTAGCGATCATTGATTAGTTGTTCCTATGTTCCTTTATTCATCAAATACAGTTACCAAAGTTACCAAAGATTTCCATTAATCATGTGCTATTGGTTCGTTTATATTTACCTATCTTTTGGCTCCTAATATTAATCACACATCTATCAGATTTATCTATCAAAGCTTGTCTCCTAGCCTCCATTGATCGCACGCAATCAACGCCTCATTGTTCGATTTTTTAAATTAGCCTACACTAATTTGCTTATGGAACTTATAACTTCCATTGACGATGAAACGTCAGTTCGTCAACATTTACCTATTCTTTTATACTTCTCTTCCATACTTATGGTAATAGTATTTGAAGGTTACAGTCTATAGAAGAGTACATCACGTCTGTATTTTCAAAGTACACTATTCAAAACTTTCCTAATCACAGAATTCATTTCCACATTTAAACATTTCACGCATTCTCTATCTAATTTCCATCGAACGTCTGTCAATTCGCGACTCCCGTCGCCCCAAAAAATAACAACGACACAATTGTGGCTACGATAATTGACAAACGCATAAGACGATGGTAACAGTAGTGCCATCGCGGATTATTATTATTCATCGCGCGGCTCGTGTACCGCGTTCATTGGGACATAGATATGCGATAACACGGTGAAATAATTAGCTATTGAATTATTCGTTCCGCGCGGAATATTCATTCGCGCGGCGGCGTAACGCGCGGTCGGATTATTTCAGGTGCAATGAATTCCTCGACTGGCTGCGGACTCTCGCGGAAAACGCG